CCCAAAAGTGAGTGTGGCAGAGGTACCAGACGGAAGCTGGAGAGAAGAAGTGAGGAAGTATAGATTCGCTGACAGACTCTCAAGAACTTTCAAATGTCCTAGAAATATCCTGGTTTTCAAGTCCTCTGGAGAGAGCGCGACTAAAAAAAAAAAAAAAAAAAAAATGGAGAAAGAAAAAATCTTTTATACATCCCAGAAAAAAATCCAAGGCTAATCTTGTGCTCACAGAAATGTCATAAATTGCAGTAAAATGTTGATAAACAATGTAAGATTAGGCCCAAACACTTCCTTTCCGATTTTCTATTTTTCCATTTCAGAAACATTCCTAATACGGGGGTACTTTGGCTTGGCTCTGAACGTGAGACTTCCCCTAAGCCCTGGGGTGCGGTGAGTGACCTGAGGGGACAGCCCCTGCCTTGGTTCACTGGAGGCGGCTCTGGCGGGGGGCCCTCCACACGGCAGCCACCCTCAGTTCCTCACACGTGGTTCCTCCTGGGCTGGGAGAGGCTCCCCAACAACCACTCCTCAAATCCACAAGCTGGCACTTTATAATGGGGTCTCAGCATCATTCACACTCAGCACTTTGAAAAGATGTTCTGTGCCTTGAGATTCTCAGGTTTTCACGTTTCCAACTGTGTATCCTTTCAAATCTTTAAAAACAAAGGTCCCGAAGAAGGGACAACGGGAGGAATGACAGCGCTTACTCTGTGCCGCCCTGTTCCAGGTGCTCTGTCCACATTAGCTAGTTTACTCCCCCAGCCCCAGGCCTGCGAGACAGGCAACTCCAACTCCAGATGAGGAAGCCAAGGCTCGTAGGTGGCATGACTTGTCCTTGTCACACAGCTTGTTGCAGGGGAACCCAGGCAAGTCTGGCTAGAGTCCCGCCTGGGTGGGCACGGCGTCACTGCTGAATGCCGCGTGCCTTTGCTGGCGACTGCCGATGACCCTCTGCTCCACAGGCGGTGAGGGTCTTCTTACATCACTCATCTGGTCAGCTGTGTCCCCAGCTCCGAGGGTCCTGCTTTACTCAACTCCCTTCAGAAACAGATCTTTCTTTTATAGGAGGATGTCTAGATAAATATATGGATTTTCAGTGCTCGTTACAAACTTTCTGGACAAATTACACGGAAACTCTAAAAAGGTGATTCACTCATTAGGCACTTAAAAATCACCTCAACAAATAAAAAAGCGCCAGTTGGCAAGCTGGATTGTGAGCACGTATCTGAAACGGTAGCTCTCCCCAGAAGAACGGCCCAGAAAAAGCAGCAGGAGAGGCCCGAGTCCTGCTCCAGGGCAGGAAGGACGGGTTTTTCCACTTGACCTTAGGGCCCCTAAACCAGCCTTGGTCAGGAACCTTCTGGAAGTGTAACATGGACGTCTGATTTAACCTGGATGTGTAAAAACCTTAGTCTATTTCAGAGTCCCCTGACTGCTTTCTGCCAAAAGACCTCAGATGCTTTCTGTCCTTTAAGAACTTGCCAAATGTTAGCTGAGAAACTTTCATGGTCTGATGGGTGGACTTGTGTCAAATTGATCATCAATTTGATGTTTCCCATTTAATTAACCAGGAAGCTGGAGAGAGTGTCACAGAAGCAAATGGAGCGTCACTTCTGCGGCGCAGACATTGCCATCTGACAGGGCTCGGGAGAAAGGCAGGAGACTTTGGTTGGGGTCACGTGATAGCAGCCAGGCAGATGCCTTTTACGCACAGGACTGCCCACTAGACAAAGCCACATCTGACCGGAGAGTCAGAGACAGCGTCCCACCCGAGGCTGCCCGGGGCAGAGAGCATCACACGTAGGATAGGAGCCACCGCATCCGGGTTCCAATTCTACCTCGACTGCCTCCTAATCACGTAACCCTGGGCAAGATGCCCACCTCTCTAATCCTCAGTGGCTGCTCCATAAAATGGAATGAGCAAAGTTCTTCTCTGTAGGGTGTTTGGAAGAATTTAGACCATGCAATGAAGGCGTTTTCAAGGCGCCTGGAACAAAGTTATGGCTCAGTGCGCGGTAGCTACCCTGGGTGCTAGCTTTAGGTCTGCAGATCACTCTCTCGTCGTCTTCACAGCAGCCTCTGGGGCACATGGGTGGGTCTGGGAGCCTCTCTGACTTCATGGCACTGCTTGCAGAGACAGGGAAAATTCACTCTGAGAGAGCCATATGGTCCAGAGTTTGTTAAAGTCACAGCTTTGTTAAATGAACGGTACTAGCAGCCATGCCTGGAATTATTGGTCCAGCCTATCTTTTCTTTAGTTTCTTGAATTTTTGAAGCCCAGGAATTAGGTAGATCCATCCAAAAAAACATCTGTAATCAGGCTAAAAAAATATTTTGCTAGTATACACAAGTGTCCAAGAAAAATTTCAGGAAGAGCATAATGTCAGAAGATCATGAAATTTTATTTGTATTCCCTGTTTTCAACTTTTCCACTGGCCATAAAAGTGAATGATTTTTACCCTTTGAGATCACGGCATTTCCTGAGAGTAACTAAATAGAAATAAAGGATATAATTGAGTGACTGAAGAGAAAGGATATTCAACCTTATGTAAGCTAACTAAGGAAACAGGTCCCGAGGTCCTGTCAATCTCATTTAAAAGTCAGTCGATACCCACAAAACTAGCCTAATTCCCACAGGCTTGCCCATTAAAATTACACACACACGTCCTTCAGGGGGAGAGTGAAGTGGGGCTTATGGTGCCCACGCTATTTTAAGAAAAGAGAATGGCCACCCGAGCTGCCCGCTCAGTTGCTCGATCAAGCACCCGCCTGCCAGGACTTCAGGCTTTCCTTCTTGAAATAACACGAACATTTTTCTACCACGGCTTCCTCCACAAAGTCAACTACATAATTACTTCTGAAAGTCAAGAAAACCGTTCCAAATATTCAAAGGCTCCAAACGGCAAGGTCTAACTTCCAGGCCACATCTTTCTTCTTCCAAAATGTGGAAAATCACATGGCGTGACTCCACACAGAGGGAGCCGCGGGTCTGGGTTGAGAAGTTCAGCATGATTAACTCCTGACTTTGCAGCAGCCTTGTTGATTTTGGCCCCACTCGGGGGATTCTTGTTTATTTGCTCATAAAGTATGTGCGGAAGGATAATTAGTTTTAAGGGTCTTTCCACTAAATCACGTCAGAGAAATGATAAGTGCTTTTTGTTCTGTGGTTTTCACTTTAGCGACAGTGAAGGATGACTAGCCCCAAATATCCAAAGAGTTTCCTGTAAATTACGGTTTCCTTGGTCAGAATAATATCGGAACCCCCCAGCTACTTACATCTTTTCCAGGTAAAGCTTTTATAAAGTAATAATTTTTTTCTCTGCCTATTAGTTCTTCCTCAAACCGGACATTTTTATGGACGTTTCTATAATGAAAACTGATAAAGAGAGGGGGCAAAGCTTCCAAAGGTTGGGGGGGAAACATGTTACAGAAAGAATAGGGAAGTAGTCAGAGGAAAAGTGGAAGCCTGGAGTTTATAACACCATCAGCTGCTATTGAGCGTGCTGGGGGCTTTGTATCCACCACCAGAATAACCCTAGGAAGTAGGCACCCTCATTTTAGCTCCACTTTATAAACAGAAAGACGGGCCCAGAGGGGTCAAGTAATCGGCCCAAGTTCGCACAGCTAGTGAGACACAGAGCCAGGACCGGAACTGGGCGGTTTGGTGTCTGAGCTCTTATGCTCAGCCTAGTAAGTAAATGGAGAGGGTCTAAGCACGCCCATCAGGCACAGCGACCACGCGTCAGACTAAGCTGGAGACAGGGAGCTATTCGACTCCTAGACTCACAAGATCAGCTAGTTTTTGCTCACGGTAGCCAAGCCTCTGAACATTTTAAAGTTGACACAGGACCACTGCTAGTTCTGTTTCTTCCACGCCTGGCATGCCACTCCTGTTCTGAAGCCAAACGACACAGGCTGCAGCTTGGCTTCAAGTGGCCCGTGCTGCGCATCCTTCATCTCTGATCTGCGCAAAGGCTTCCTTCTGCACAGGATGGAAATCACTCTTCAACTGTCACTAAATACCTAGCAACAGAGACTGATGGTGCGGCCTGCTGCTCACTGCCTTTCCTAGGAGTGACGTGACAAAGGAAAGAAGCGTTAAGAAACCTGCCCAAGATGTGTTGGAATTGTTTCAAGCAGCCAGCAGTTACGTTACGCACTGATACTGAAATCACAGAGGAGTGTGGCAAGAACCCCTACGGAGTACAAAGGAACGAGAGTAGAGAAGAGGCGTGACGTGCCACGAGGTGCCTTGGGGTCCACTAAGCTGGCATGCCTTTAGAGATTTCAAAGTGACCCATGTTGTCCCAGTGCTGTGGCTCTCAGGACGACAGTCACTTCCAGTGTTGGTCACGTGTGTTTAAGCAGCAGGTTTGCAGCCGAAGACCTCAGAGACAAGGAGGCACCCCAGGGCCACCCTTCAGGGCCTGGCTTAGACTAGGGACACGCTGAGAGTACAGAGCAGGGTTCCCAACACTCAGCCCCGGCCGTCAGCGCCAATCACCGGCGGCCTCTGTAGAACCTGCTGCCCACCCACAGCAGAGAAGCTGGTAATTCCTCTGCACGAGCCTTTCCCCTTTGAAAAAGAAACAACACAATTTCTGGTCTTCTCCCACTAAAAAGAAAAGAGCCCCTAATATTCCAATGAATGCGGTGCTTTTCTGTGCCCCCTGATCTGGGAACCAGCTCCGGTTCACTCATGTGCACATTCACTCATCAAATATTTACTGAGCGGCACCCACGACTCGTGAGTCAGCAGGAGGCAAACAGAAGAAAGAGGGCATCGCCCCCGAGAAAGTGCCAGTCCAGGAGGTGTGGGGTGGTCAGACCAGGACACCGGTCACTAGAAGGTGAGAAGTGGACTTAGGACACTCTGCACGAATGTCCTGGAAAAGCAGCAACCAAGGGCTCAGAAAGGCCTCTGAAGGGGCCAAGCCCCTTCAGAGGCGGAATTCAGTAGGTGACAAGGACTAGGACTCCGGACGCTGCTGGCCCAGGGGTACCTTGCAGTCGCAGCCGATGGGTTTCCCGCACTCCTCGCAGGTGCTGGCGTAGAGGGCCTCGAAGCACGCCACGCAGTAGGGGCTCTCCTCCCTCAGGATGTACTTCTTGCCAAAGAGAGAGCCTTCGCAATGGTGGCAATCAAAGCGCTCGGTCATTTTGACACCGGCTTTTCAACAACCTATCAAGAGGAAGAGAAAACACAGGTTGCGGTGAGCACACGCTGGACAGCCTGCAAACCCAGGCAGGAGCCGTGCTGCCTCTTGGTGTCGTTTGTGGTCAAGGGGTGGGGATCTTCTCTGGGCCGATAAGTGAAACTCACCCTTTAAACAGTCCTAATTTTCAATGATACTTTTAAAAAATCAGTTGGGGACAGTGTTTTGTTTGAATGCATTCCACTTGTTTAAACATCCCGATCACAGCTGACTGTAGTGTCAGAACAAGCTGTCTCGGGTTGGATACAACGTTCACATCAGAGCCTTCAAGCCATGGGCCTTGGGCCTGCTTCAGTGCGTGACAGGGCCTCACATCTTCCCTTTCTCCCTGCCCCCAAAATAGAAAGGCAGGGATAGAAACAATATGTTCATTTCTATAAAAAGATTTTCCATGAGCTCCCCTCTATGATTCATAAATTTGAATAGTAAGAAACCACAGCGGCTAAGGGAGGGGTATCGGAGTTGGCACATCTGAGATTAGATGTCAAGAGAACGTTAGCCTTTGACCTTGGCATGGCATTGGGAAGCGCACCTGCCCTTCCTTGCACAGGAAAAATTGCCATATGCCCCTTGGGGCAAGTCATTTCTCCAGATGAAGAGATTATCCTTCCTTCTTCCGCTGCACAGGTCTCCAGAGAGCGGGACAAAGGGAAGGGCTGGCTTCCAAGAGCAGGGGTTATCGCACACGGGGAATGCAGGGGCCGCAGGCAACGGCCTCATCAGCACCGCCTCGCGCCTCTCAAAGAGGAAGGAGAAGGCATCTCCACACCAGCACGCTGCGCTTTTCCAGGGAGAGCGGAAAGGGACGGGACGGGGGGAGGCAAACGCGTCTTCCCCTCTCCTTGTCCTCTTCTGCCTTCCCCCACAAACCTGACAGAACTACCTCGAAAGAACCAGGCTACCACGAGAGTACTGGGTATGGAGAAACACCTCCTGGGCGTTAAAAACAGAGCCGACCTTCTTCAGGAATATTTTCTCAAGTGGCAATATTTAATTTGCTAAAAGTAAAAAGTTTTCCAAGTTGTTAAATACGTAGACTGGCTGACTGCGTAACTCTGAGCAATGCTTCACCAACTCTGATTAAACCTGGTTCAATTTTCAGTCATTTCAAACCATTTAAGAGTGAAATTCCAGAATAATACCCTATGATGCAAATAAAATAGTGCTGCCTGGTTTACAATAACAGCAAATGTGATAGTGTTTATTAATTTTGTACTCTTGTGTATTCATGGTCCTGACAATTGTAAGCAAAGAAACAAACATCTTTGAAGCATCCATACTTGGTTATTGCTGTGTTTATAGAACAATTTTTTCCCAAAAGTATTAAACATGCAGCTGGACACATCCATCCTTCTAAACAGCTCTTCCTGGAGGTAAAGAAAACACTGTCTGGACATTCCTGTGATAACATCGCAAGATGAGGCTCTTGTGCATTTGAATTATTACTCTGAAACCCAATGTATAAATATCCTTTGTACTAAGGCCATCTCAGGTTGCAGAGCTATGTTGACAGAAGGGTCAACGCTTTCCTGTAATTCCTTAGTCATTGGCCTTGAAAGTGGCTATCATTTACTTCATCACAATTGAGAGCTGTCCTTCCAACACGTATATTTTTCCAATAAAGGCTGCCATTTACTTGTGGAACCAGATGCTATTGCCTATTCTATTCACACAAATATAAGAATAACGATTTGAGAATCTGAAACAAGAACAACGAAAGGAGACAGAACTCTAAATCGTAAAATTTTAAAAGCTGGAAACAACTCCCAAGATTATCTACGACAACTGTCTCATTTTATGGAGAAAAACTGGAGCCCAGGAATATTAATGTAAAGAGAGGATTTACATGAGCTTTCCCACATAGCCACCTAAGTGAGAAAAAACAAACTCCCGACCTAAATCTAAAGGTGGTTCCAGGCAGGTCGGGAGCAGCACAGACCGGCTGGGGAAAGGAAACAGACTACAGACTGCACCAACAATGTTCTCCAGCCAGCAGAATGGGCGGACGCTTTTCTCCCCAAGCAATGATCGTCATGCTCATGTACCTGGCGTATGTGTCTTCTACTTCCTCCAATTCCCCAAAGCAGGACAGAAATCACCTAAGGCAGTAAACCCTGAGATCAAGCAGGGCCCCACGTCTGCTCCGAGTGTGGCTGGGGCTCTCCAGACACAAAGGTCCTCGCCAGTGATATGCACTCCCAGCAGCAACAGCATGGGGCGACCAGCTGAGAGGGTCTGAACCAGATGAGGCACTTGGCCCAGCGGCGGGCTCGAATTTCTATAGAATTGTTTCTGACAGTGATGGATCTCTCTCCCACCTTGCTCCTTATCTTCTCTAAGAAGTCACCACAATTTTAATGATCAGGCGAGCTCTCCTGCTTAAACCAACAGATTAGAGTGTAAAATTAGCACCCATCACTAATTAGGAATAGAACAGGATACACTTTGTCTGGGAAGGTCCTCTTATGTATTTCCAGAATTATATGAAGCACAAGCCCCAAGATCAAAGTAACTAGCTCATAAGCTAATGAGAAAACCAAAAGCTTCCCTTCTGTCACAAAGTGTTTAATACCAATTCTCCCTTAATTAAATGCTACCAAATAGAATATTCTTGTAAAAAGTTTGTGTAAAGTTACACTATCAATCTTAAGCTTCTTCTGTTTTGTTTTGTTTTGAGGAAGATTAGCCCTAAGCTAACATCTGCTGCCAATCCTCCTCTTTTCGCTGAGGAAGACTCGCCCTGAGCTAACATCCATGCCCATCTTCCTGTACTCTCTATGTGGGACACCTACCACAGCATGGCTTGATAAGCAGTGCCATGTCCGCACCTGGGATCCGAACCGTGAACCTCGGGTCACCGAAGCCGAATGTGCAAACTTAACTGCTGTGCCACCAGGCCGGCCCCCAAAGTTTCTTTTTAACGGAAAAAAAAAATGTATCTACAGTCTTACATTAGAAGCCCCCTATAACTTGGCATTTTTTAATCCTATAAAAATACCTGATTACTCATTCATTCAAGAAGCATCTGTGGAGTTGGAACTGTGTGTCAGATGTTATGCAGAGTTCTGGATACAAAGATGAGTAAGATACAGGCCCTCCCTGGAGGCACTTGTGGTCCAGTGAGGAAAGCAGACCCAGATCAAACAGATTATAAAGCTCTGTGCTCGGGGCCATGATGGAGAGATGCACAGGGGACTGTGGGAACCAAGAGGAGTCCCTGGGCCACCCCTCCTGGGAGGGCGGGGCGGGCTTCTGGGAGGAGACGTTACCTGTGTTGGGAGTGCTGAGCCAGGTGACACTGCAGACCACAGGCGGAGCGCAGAGGTAGGGGGATAAGAACAGGGTTGAGGGAGCAGACGCCCAGGAAGGCGAGAGTGACTAGGATCAGTCCACCAGGAGCAAGGAGCTGAAAACATGGCCAAAGGCCAAAGGCGGGCCTGCAGCTTGATCAGGAGCTTGGCTTTGCCCTGGAGGCAGCGGCTTCCGCCTGCCCCCTCGCAGCCACAGTGCGGAGTGGGGCAGGGAGGCCTGCTGAGCGTTACTGCCTGTAAGCCCGACTTGGCCACGTGGTATCGATGGAGACACAACTGAGGGCAGTGACACTACAAATGTTCTCAGGGTGTCAGAGTCCACTTCTGAATGGTCCCTTTAAGTAAAAATAGGACATCTTGGTCCTGTAAGGACTTTACCTAATTGCGTCCAATCACTTACCCTCTCTGAACCTCGGATCCCTCCCGGCCGGTTATGTGTCATTCCTGTCCATCCCCTGGTGCACAGAAATGCTGAAAGGATGAAGCAACGAGACACCTGAAGACAAGGTGCGCTGCTGACTTGTGATTTCCGTGAATCAACTGCAAATTATAGTGTCCTGGAGTGCCTCTCCCTTTCCAGGGTGAAATCATTCCCTGACGTCATTCACCCTTGGGCTCAGAACAGCCAGGGGTTTGAAAAAGCTGGATCTCAGGGTGCAGGCGGGGCCCCAGGCCACGCTGAGTACACGGGGTGAGGCGAGTCCCAGGTGTGGCTCACAGGTCCAGACGGCCGGGAGCGCTTTGATCTCCGAGGCTGTCGTCAGCCCAGCCTTTAGTCAGAATTAAGAACGAAGGTTCAGAGAGCAATGGGGCAATGATGCACAGGGCACTCCTACTGAAACATAATGGTGGTCTCAAAGTCCACAGGCTGCAAATGTGGGTTATTTTAATCTTCTCAGGTTTAAGAACTGCACAACAAAGTTTGAGAGGGGGAAGTGCCAGAGCTAGGAAAAGAGAAGAGAAACGTGAAAAAAAAAAAGAGGAGGAAAATGAAAAGAGAGTAAAGGAAGTAGGGAGAGGAGGAATAATGGAGAAAGGAAGAGGGAGAGAGGTGGGAGAGAGGCGAGGACTCGGAGCCAGGAAGCTCGTCATTTTCTTTTCCCAGAAGGATTCTCGAGAATCCAGGGTGGAGGCGGGCGTGGTGGACAGCCTCTGCTGGGCGTGCTGGCCCAGGCCTGACTTTCAGGACCGTGGCCATCCTTCCCTAACGAGGATGGCTGGGCCCTGCCCGCCCTGCCCAACAAGGCCAGAGGTGCAGCAGCAGTCTCTGTGGCATCACTGTCAATGCTCCCTCTAGTCAACTACCTCCCTGATGCGACCCCAAACGGGCCACTTTCCTCATTCCCCTGGAAACCCAAGAGTTTCTCTCTATCAACCCTGCTTTAAGAGACTTCTCCAACAGAGTCAATTCCTGTAGAGAAATCTGCCAATGTTCCCACACCCTTCCCACAACATGAGAAGCAGCTTTAGTAAGCCAGTCCCTAACAAGGCCATGTCCATCTTTACATGCCACCAGGGACCCAGGTGGGAGATTCCATTGCTTAGCCACAATCAACAGGAGCTTTCGAGAGGGAATTAAGAAAATTGGTCTGTAGCATGTGGGCTCTTTTTAAGAATGCATTTAAAAATGCAATGCTTCGATGGCACCACACAACACCGTGACCCCTGCACCCCTCTATAAGCCACAGGCGCTGCGAAAAGGGGCACTAGGTCTTGCTGTGGCCTCGCCAGCACGTGACAAATACAGGGTCAAGTACTTCATAAATACTTGCAGAATGAACAAACAAATGGATGGACAGATGGAGGAATACAAACATCCCAGAGTACACACATGAAGGCAAAAATCAAGAATGAAGGCAAGGGAGGCCGGCCAGTGGCGCCGCAGTTAAGTTCGCACGTTCCGCTTCAGCGGCCCGGGGTTCACCGGTTCGGATCCCGGGTGTGGACATGGCCCCACTTGGTAAGCCACGCTGTGGCAGGCGTCCCACATATAAAGTGGAGGGAGATGGGCACGGATGTTAGCTCAGGGCCAGTCTTCCTCAGCAAAAAGAATGAAGACGAAGACTGTTTTAGGTGAACAATCCACGTTGCATAGGAAACCCGAAATGTCATGTGGTTTGGCGTCTGATGCCATTATAATTTCTAATATAACGATCCTGAGCTTCACTCTTTTTCCCCCGTCTCTGGCCTCTTTCCCTCTTCGAGATAAACTGCTGCTTCCAGAGTGGGTAGAATTTTCCTGACTGTGTTTGGATTCTAAACCCATGTGAACACACAGCCGCATAGTCCTGGATGAGGCCCGGTCGGGTCGAGAAGCAAAAGCCAGCCAGGAGACACTTCCACGCGTCTCCGTGAAGAATGTGCTAGCTCCCCCCGCACAGGCTCCAGATATCAGCAAGAGGATGTTCTACAGAGACACAGCGTGCCTATAAATCAAAGCTCCGCGTCCAAAGGCATGGGGCTCTCCCCCCGGAAACGAGCTAGAGACTACCCTGCACCAGGTGTTCTCTACGCGTGGAGGCACCGCACAGACTCGGCTCACCCAACCTTCTTTCCATTAGTCTGGCTGAACTGCTTCTTTTAAATAGAAATGCTGGTGAAAGGGAGAGGGCGTCAGTTCAAGGGATGTTGTTCTTTTTTCTTTTTTTCAAAGATTGGCATCTGAGCTAACAACTGTGGCCAATGTTTTTTTTTTTCCCTGCTTTATCTCCCCAAATCCCCCCAGGTACATAGTTGTATATCTTAGTTGCAGGTCCTTCTAGTTGTGGCATATGGGACGCCGCCTCAACGTGGCCTGATGAGCAGCGCCATGTCTGCGCCCAGGATCCAAACCAGCGAAACCCTGGGCCGCTGCAGAGGAGCGCGGGAACTTAACCACTGGGCCATGGGACCGGCCCCTGTTGTTCTTTTTAAAAATATAATAATGTATTTAGAATCCACTTGAAACTGATTTTTCGGTTGTTGGTAAGGTGAAAGATTGACTAAGCCTGCTGCTGTCTGGATTACTCTAATGAGCCTTTACTAAGCACAGGGGCAGGGGCTGGGATGTGTTATAATTTGGTATGTAAATCAGTATCTTTAATACATTTTGATTTGTCTCTGATAGTTTTAAGAAATGTTCTGTGTGAGAGACAATTCTTGAATAAGGTAAACTGCTGTCTTCCAAATTATCTTCTGGATATTGAATAAAGAAAAGAAACGGGAAAATAATAAAGTCAAATTTCCGACCTTAAGTCCCTAAGTCCAATAGTGACAGCTGGTCGACATTCCGTGGACTTTAAGTCCAGTCCATAGGGTGTATTGAGGAACCACTGTTTTCCACGTGCTGTCCTAGTCCCTGGGGACCGAGATAAGACATACAGTCTCTGAAAGGGTTCCAGTCTAGTTCCAGCCCCAAAGAATTTAAATCACCCTTAAGATACTATCTTGTAATTTAATCTCAGAACACGTCAGTTCAGATGACTCAAGACAAGCATGACTATGCAGGCTAGAATGGTGGGCTGCCTCAGCTTCATAAATCATCCCAGTGTTGGGGGGATCACGGAGACCCCACCCTAAAGCTCTACGGTGGCCTTCCTGGGAACGTGTGAGCAAGTTATTTATACTTTGTTTCCACACGAACAAAAAGAAAAATGCTCACTCTCTTTCATCCGTTTCCTCCAATCTCCAAAAGGCGGCTGGTTGTTTACTCTCTGTCTGCTTGGCCTTCCATCTGCTGTGACCCCTGACCGGCCTTCTCCTTTGGTGACCCCAACTCCGATGAAAGACTGGCCTCTTCGTCCTCCCCCTTGTCCTGCTCCTTCAGGCTGTTTCTTTAGCACGCACGTCAGCATCCTGTTGTGACAGGCTTGCACATCTCCTGCAACTTCGTTCACTGACTGCCTAACTCTTACTTGTTCCAAAAGTTGTATCATCAGAAAAAGACAAATCTATTTTCTTTTTGACTGAAAACCTAAATATTTACAGACTTCGAGGATGCCCCTGGCATTAATTTTATTACCCATAAACACAGGGGAGCCGCTTCTCTTACTGGTACAGACATCACTTGCCTCACTTAGCACCATCTACCTAAAGGAGATCATTAGTCAACCGGGGCAGCAAAGGAATGGATCACGCAGGCGAAGGACGAGTATGATGACATGTGACGTCCAAGTGCAGACTAGGCGTGAGAATCACCCCTGAGAACTGGACTAATGACGGAGAGACCAGACGCTGCCCCTGACGTCTCAGCCGATCTCCAAGCAGGCAGCCATATTTTACAGCAAAGGAAAGTCCAGATCACCAGCAGCAAAGTAGTGATGAAATCGTGAAAAAGCGAGACTGGGAGCTGGTGGGGGGACTTTTTAAGCAAAGTTACTGGGGAGCTGTATTGGTCAGGGTTCTACAGAGAAGCAGAACCAACAGGTGATTTATATATATATATATATAAATACATAAACACAGTTATTCGTCACCTAATGAGGGGGATACGTTCTGAGAAATGTGTCGGTAGGCTATTTCGTCATTGTGCGAACATCAGAGTATACTTACACAAACCTAGATAGTATAGCCTACTACACACCTAGGTTGTGTGGTACTAACCATAAGGGACCACCATCGTATATGTGGTCCGTTGTTGACCAAAACATTGCTGTGCAGTGCATGACTGTGTATCTGTGCGTGTGTATATAAAGAAATTTATTATAAGTAACTGGTTCACAATATTATGGAGGCTGAGAAGGCCCAAGATCTGCAACTGGCAAGGTGGAGACCCAAGAGAGCACTGTGTGGTTCCAGCCTGAGTCTGAAGGCCTGAGAATTCGGAGAGCCATTGGTTTAAGTTCCAGTTCAAAAGCCGGCAGGCTCTAAACCCAGGAAGACCTGATGTTTTGGTCTGAGTCTGAAGGCTGGAAAGAACCAACATCCTAGCTCAGCAATCAGGCAAACGGAGTTCTCTCTTAGTCTGTTTTTTGGTTTGAATCCAAATCAGGCAAGAGGAATTTCCATTTGCTCAGCCTTTTTGTTCTATTCAGGTCTCCAACTGATTGGACAAGGCCCACCCACATTGGGAAAAGCAATCTGCCCTGCTCAGTCTACTGATTCAAATGTTAACCTCCTCCAGAAATACCTTCACAGACACACCCAGAAATAAATGTCCAAATGTCTGGGCACCCCGTGGCCCAGTACAGCTGACATAAAATTAACCATCACAGCAGCTAAAGTGGAAATCCACGATTCTGGATGACAGCGGCAATTCACTTAACTCACCCCAAAGTCACAATGCCAGCTTGGCCTCCTGGAAGACCGGGGTCTCAGACACTAGAGAAGGCCCATGCATTTTGTTCAAGATAGCCATCTTGAGGAAGTGGCCTCTCAGCATAATGCCACGTGATAATGTGGCTTTGATAAAACTCTCATAATAAACTACACAGGAAGCACCCAATATCCAACACTTTTGTTCACCCAAGCTCAAGGAACTTTGCCTCATGGCATTGGAGTCAGAGATAAGCTGAACTACCTACCCCAGCCCCCTCGCTGACAAACGAGCAGCCCACGCTGCAGAGGCTGGGGAACTGACCCTCAGTGCAGGGCAGGACCAGAACCCAGGCCTCCTGCAGCCCCGTCCACTTTTCTTCAATATCCTACTGAGGCATTTTTGTCTGCAGTTTTGATTTCTTTCCTACTGGAAGTGGTTTAACAAACATTTTGGGTCAAAATATGCAGCACAAATCCTCATTGAGTATTCAGCTGCGCCCCGTAGTTTAGCAGTTAGAACTCGGGCTCTCAAGCTGCCTGGGGTCAGATACCAGGACCAGCATTTATAGCCTGGGAACCTTAAGCAAAGGTTACTTTGATCTCTCTGTGCCTCAGTTTATCTGTAAAAGTGAAGATGGCATCAAATATGTATACACTGCTGATGGTGTGCAGGCTTCATAACAACCCTGTAAGCAAGCCACCACGATATCCTTGTTTTCCAGTTGTGGAAACTGAGGCACCAAGAGATTAGGTGACTTGGCCAGGGTTGCACAGCTCACGGTTGAAGGACAGGGGCGTGAACTCCAGCAGCCTAGCTCCCGTCTGTGCACACCCGCTGGCCTCTCACACCAGCCTGTGGGCATATTTGTAAACGAGACCTTGAGCACACGTGCCCCGAATAGTGCCTGGTGGGTAGCATGCCAATTAAGTCCTTATTAATACGCTGCTGTGAAAAGGCATTTTGAAGCATGACAGGATAATAAACACTGTGGAAACCCAATTCTATATATTCATGGATAACTCTTAAAAATTCAGGGTGAGCTAAATCTGAACATCACCATGAAATAATCTTACATGAATGCACAATAAAATGCCCTTCATTGAGTTTGGTTTTATGGAAGTTAAATTGTCAGACTGGGAATTCCCACACTTCTAAGACTGGCCTCAAATGTTTTCTGGTCTAAGCCACCTTCAGGATACCAGAGGCACTCCCTCTAACACATCATCACAAGGCGCACACAGGCAGGGCTAGCACCCAAGGCGGCAGAAGTACTGAGCCTCGAGTTTTGAACATAAATTCTGATTCTAAGCCCGAAGTGTGACTTATTACCTCCCAAAATAAGGGCAGGTCACGGACGGCAGCTGTATCCATTTCATTTAACCTGGGTTGGACTGGTTGGAATGAAAACCCAAACGGGAATTTGAAAGTAAATGTAATTGATTCTTCACTTAAAATTGGAAACAACATTTAACACTCTCTTCCCGCAGTTTCAGGTATGCTAAGATATCACACGAGGCCAAGTTAAAATTAGAATGTTTTCCTTTTAAAATAAGCTCATTATTTTTAACCTAGTGGTTCAGTTTTTTAATTTCCGCAGGAGGCAATGCGTGAGACCACTCCGCAAGCTCCCCTTTCTGCTGAAAGGAGATGCCTCTGACGCCCGGCCAGACCGGAGGCGGCCCGCCCGCGCGCCAAGACAGTTTGCTCTGGGGTCCAGGTCCCGGGGAACGGGGGCGGTCACCTACCTGCGCCCCGAACTGCGGCCAGCCCTGGCCCGGGGTTCGCCCGTGGAAGGCACAATCTCTCCTCCACACCGGCGGTAACCCAGCTCGCCAGGACGCGGACCGCGCTCCTCCCTCCGGGCTGGGGCGGGGGTCCCTCTGGCCTCCAGGACCCCCAGGCCTTCCCACCAAGGTTCAGCTTCCTCCTCCTCGGGTCCCCCCACGGCTTGGCTGCCCTCTCCCCGTGTCCCCCTCATTGCTGGGCTCCCCTACTCCCATGTCCCCCTCATTGCTCGACTCCCCACTCCCGGGTCCCCGTCGTTGCTCGTTTCCCCTCTCCCCAGTGTCCCCATGGCCCGGTTCCCCTCTCTCGGGTCCCCCCATTGCTCGGCCCCCTCTCCCGGGTCGCCTTCATTCCTCCGCTCCCCTCTCCCGGGGTGTCCCCATGGCCCGGCTCCCCTCTCCCCGTGTCCCCTTCATTGCTCGGCTCCCTCACTCCCGGGTCCCCCTCATTCCTCCGCTCCCCTCTCCCCAGGTGTCCCCATGGCCCGGCTCTCCTCTCCTGGGTCCCCTCCATTGCTCGGCCCCCCTTCCGGGTCCCCCCCCCTCCACGAGTGCTCGGCTCCCCTCCCCCCGGGTGTCCCCATGGCCTGGCTGGCTCCCCTCTCAAGGGTCCCCCCCATTGCTCGGCCCCCACTCCCGGGTCCCCCCCATTGCTCGGCTCCCTCCCTCCTGGGTCGCCCCCATTGCTCAGCCCCCCTTCCGGGTCCCCCAGATTGCTCGGCCCCCCTCTCCCCGGGTGTCCCCACGGCCCGTCCCCTCGGCGGTCCTGGCCGGCGGGCACTCACCGCGGCGGCCGGGTGGCGTCCGGCGGCGGCTGCACTGCGGCTCCGCGACCGGCCGAGGGAGCGCCGCGAGCCCGCCCCGCCGCCTGACCATATAAGGAGCCTCCCGCCTCCCGGGCGCCGGGGCGCGCGCCCCTGGTCCCCCAGCCCGGCCGCGCCCTCGCCTCGCTGGGGCTCTCCCTTCGTCCCCCGGGGCCCTGGCGCCCGGCGGCTCGCAGGCCGGGAGTCTGGAGCGGGGGCTGGCCTCGGAGGGGGCTGCGCCGGCCACGCGTTTGCACGTGGGCTTCTCCCGCAGAGCCCTGTCTGTCACGCGGTGAGCCCAGCAGACGGATACTGCGGGCGCTTTGTTCCGCTAGAGAGGGGACAGGGGAGGGTCCGGTCGCCACCGCTCCGAGGGGAGAGGGCTGTTGAGACCTTCCGTTGTCCCCTCCAGGGCGGGAAAACAAAAGTGAGGTGGAGAAACTGCCGCCCACACTCAAAGCCCAGGACGTGTGCCCGAAGACCCCCCTGGATGGGGACAGATGCCAGAGGAAGGGCACAGGCTGTCTCATGCCTGGGAAAGGGGGCATCCGGAACAGGGGTTTGCTCCTAACCTGTGTCTGCCGGCTCCACAGCAGACTGGAGGTGGTTATTCAGTTCTGCGAATTGTCTTCTAACTGCCTTAGCTCTGTGTGCGGATTTTGATGTGTTGTGTTGTCTAAAGAAATTCTACAATTAATTTTGTATTTCCCCTTTGACCTAAAGGACAGAGCAACATATTAAATGGCCCTATGGGGATGTAATCAGCAAAATCCAGAATCTGGAAGCAAATTTACCCAGTTTCTATAATAATTTCGCAAAAACAAAACAAAAGAAACAAGAAGGAAAGAGAGGAGGAAGAAACAAATAGATTAAAAAAAGAGTTAACCAACTGCAGTGAATGGATGGGCCGAACTGAGATTCTAAATCAAAGAACAAGCTATTTAAAAAAATAAATTTTCATGAGACAATCTGGGAAAATGTGACGCTAACAAGATATTTGATGACATTAATAAATTATTAATTTATTTTAGGTGTGATAATGAAATGACACACACACACACACACACACACACCTCTTTTTAAAGCCCTTACTTTTCAGAAGTAGTACCAAAATATTTACCAATTATGTCTGGAGTTGTTTCAAAATAATTTGCGTTGGGGGGAATGGATGGGGCCAACATATATATGAAATGGTATCAGCCAGGGATTAAAGGTAACCTCTGCAGCTGGGTGACAAGTATGTGGGGTTCCTTATACGAGTCTTTCTCCTTTTGTAATGCTTGAAAAATTCCATAATGAAAAATGTTTTAAATTACAAATGTAAATTAACCCAGCATTTCCCCTTACAGGAAATTATCTCACAAATAGACTTGCTTGTGGGTAAATTGATACGCATACAAAAGGAGTCCTTGTAGAATTGTTTGTAAGAGGAAAATATTGGACCAAGTTACACGTTCAACAGGGCCCAGTTAAGTACCGTATGGTCCATTTGAGAATTATTTCTATATGCAGCTGTTAAAAAGAAGGAGGTGGCTGTATTTATTGATTTGGCATGATCTCCAAGATATATCCACGAAAAGAAAAGTAGAGAACTCTCTAGATAGTAACCAAGCATTTGCGTTAGTAAAGAAAGGGAGGAAGGGGCAAAGACAATAGATGCATATATTGGTGGTGCCTCGGGGTGGTCTGGGTGCCTGGGGGTCAGGAGTGGAAGGGAGATTAATTTTTGCTGTGTACTCTTTTGTTTCTTTTTAATTTTGAGAGGAAGGCAGAGCTTCTGGGAGTGTGGGCCTGACTGCAGAACCCAGCTGGGGGGAGTCGGGCGGGTGTAGGAGGCTGGCAGGCCAGGGCCTCCTCCTGATGGTGGCCGTCCCACAGGCACCTGAGATCTCATCGTCCCCGGGAAGAATGGGAACCCATAAAACAGGAGCCAAGGGGTCCAACATCAGCACCTAACTGACCATTTCAATGAAGATTGTTAGAGCACTTTTATCCCATTTATGAAATAGGATGTGTCACAGGCAGTTTCACCTCCTCAAGCCCTGGGCAGGAAACCGGTGGATGATTTGCCCTTGATTCAGAGGTAATCACTCTTAATTGCCTCGGATGGTTGGAGGGTGAGTAAGAGTCTAAGATCATAAAAGCTGGCGGAAAGAGGGTGAGTTCTCGCCAGACTCCCCTGAGCGGTGCAGGGTCAGGAGGCAGGTCTCTGCGCGCTTCCCTGTGACACAGCACCAGACCCCAGGGTAGTGGCGGATGCACCTGGGCTCACCTTTTCTAAAAGCAAAAGCACGATTTGCCTGGATCAAGCAGGAAAACCTCTATGCAGAATGACCCTGCAGGCAGGTGCTCACCTGCCTGTGCCCCTGAGCTTGGTGCAAATGTCCCCTCCAGCAAACAGAAGGAACTTGGTCTGGTACAGCTATGTTCTTGTAGAACCTGAACATTGTTCCTTTGACTGCTGGACTTCCAGGGAAAGCTCAGCCCTCCACAAAAAGGCAAACTTTTCCTTCCCCTCCCCCCTTGGCCATGCTCTGGTTAGGAGAGGAAATGCTTGGCTCTTTCTTAAGATGCAAAGTTTCCATATCCCGTTTCTCTTTCGCTCTCTCTCACGAACTGATTTAATGGATGCACATAGTCAGTGTTTAAAACCTCAAAACATGACTGATTTTCAGCCAAATCCACAAACAACTCTATGATTCTGAGTTTGTCATCATTGGTTAAAGCTCATTTGGAGCACTGGACACAAGTTTCCATGGTGGCTTTGATAACTCATTAAGAAAGGTTGGTTTGGCAGCTTAATAACTAATAAAATGACACCGTTAACGCTGCAGTTCATTTCAGTCCGTCGTGGAGCGGGAAATGTTGCTGGGCTGCTTCAGATGAAAACGATTTCTATCGTGGACCCAGAAAAAGTCTGCCTCTTGCTTCTGACTTGAGATCTTTTCGTCTCTGCTTCCAGTCCTTTCCAGCAGAGATCCATTCCCTTCTCTGCTTGCCAGCAGTTTTAGTTTTTTTCCTCTGTCAGCTATTCCCAAATCCATTTAAAAGAAGTGTGGATATCCAAGGTCTGTGCAAACCCGGCCAAATCCTATTCTACATGAACCGTGTTTGCTTTCCTAAAATACCTGTAGCACTTGACCTCTGGCCTCCACCGATTCTTCCTGGCGTCCCTGACACGGGGTTTCTCCTGCCTCCCGTGTCTCTCAGAATGCTGATTTTAAACCACACTTGAAATCGCAGTTATTCTTTTTGAATTAACTTTATGAGTCAACATGCAACTTTAAACTCCCGGGCTCTCTCTCCCCTCCCCCGGCGTCCTTCTGTTCTATTTCCTCTCTGATCAGGGTCATTAACAGAAATCCCATGATCTAGCTAGGAAGAGCCAGGACTGGCCAGGCCCTCGGAGGGAGGGGCTGTGCTCCCAGTCCAGGAACTCCTGGGGAGCAGCGTGTGAGCCACAGGTGACCAACACCTTGACCTTTGTGTGTCCCCTCTACCTCACCTGTGGAACAAAGGATGGACGGCCCCTCTTCTTACCTTAAGGGGCTGTTTCAAATTATCTAGTTCTTCTTCAAGTCATTTTTATAGCTAATTAGTAGTTGAAAATTTTCTAGAGTGTCTCCTGTAGAAGATTCTTCACCATGGTGTGGATCTGCGTGTGATAAAAAGCTATATTTTATGTTGCTTTACGTTCTTCTAAAAACGAGTTAAGGAATATCCTCCACCTGTTCAGAAAAGTGCTTTAACATTTGACCTGAGGGTCATGACAGTGCCTTGTGGAACAGCCACGCCTCTCTCTACATTATTGCAGTGGTAGTTGACTGTTGAAATGCCGGGCAAGATTTTCTAAAATGTCTGACCTTCAGAGTATCCTGGCCATGCTATTTGCCCCCTAGAAAATCTTTTATAATTCTGGGCCATCCTAACTGCACAAATATTTCTGGGAACTTCTGCACAGTTAGAGATGCTGAGCAATTACTCCGTGACAGTACCAGATTAGGCGTGCGTTTCCCCGCGGCGACGGAGGGGGTTCAGTGGCAAATTCCTGTCAGATAGCCAAGACGTTCATCTAGCTGTCCTTAAATTTGAGATGCCTTTTTCTTTCTTCCTTTTTTTTGCCTTGATTTCAACAATTTGAAATTATATTTTCATCTTGCAGACGGCCTTGCCGTAACCTAGCTCCCCAAGCTTGTTCACATTCTGTGGACTCGGTTCTCTCTCCCACCCTGTGTGTGTGGAGGGTCTATTTCCCTTCGTCGCTGTAGGTCCCTTGACTTTCCAGGTCATGCTAAAAGCAGTTGAAGGAAACCCTTGAGAGGTTTTCTTTTTCTAAGAACATGTTTGTAACGTTCCCAGGTCAGGAGAGCAGGGACTGCGATCCTAGACTAGGAGGTCTTTGAGACCCCTTCCAGATCATTCTCTTCACTCCCACATGTTTCATCCCCAGGCAATGAGGGAAGATGCCTTTCATCATGGAACTCCTGGAACTACTTTCCTCCTCTGTTCTGCCTGGAAAACTCTTGTTTCTCCTTTAAAACCCAGATAAAGTGTCTGCCCTAAGCCAGCTGTGTGGGGCACCCATCAATAGCCTCACTTTTGATCATTCCATGCTTCCTCATCTGTCCCTTGTTTATAACAACAGAGGAAAGAGTGTGAGCCCGTTATGCACAAGGATTGACACATTCATTTCTGTATTCTCTGCAATTTGCAACTTGCCTAATATTTGCTGAATTCAATTCAGGTTTCCTGGAAATGCCTAAACCAATATAGGGCTGCCATACGAGGGCTCATATGGGCTCACTTGAACCAGACAAACCAGTCTCATTGCCCATTTGGGCAGTTCAATTATCTGGGCTTTGCACTGAGATTTACCTTGCAAATGACTTGAATTAAGGCAAAGCGGGAGGCCTGTCTTCCCGAGGATGTGGACTCGCATCGCTCTTCTTCCATTAACTGGAGTAGCCCCTCAGGGGATAGCATCCCGGGGTACTGTCAGAAGTTGAAAAGAAGGCTGCAGCTGGTAACATGTGAAAGTTCTTGGGCTGGTGCTTCTGCCCCAAGAGTCCAGCTCTTCATTAGGAAGGGGCTGCTTCACCTGGCCTGCCCCTGGCCCCGCTGCCTGGGCCTTTTCAACCACTAACAGTGTTGCTCACCGAGGGACTGCCTTGAAGTCCATGTCGTCTTCATTCTTAGCAACTGAATGCACCGAATTACGCTTGGTACATGTTTGATTTTCTACCAAATGCCTTTAAAAACTCCATCTATACAAATGGGAACATACAAAACAAAAATTGTAACGGCTCTCTCCTTCACGACTGCGTGAGCATGTGTTGTGGGCCATTTGTGGAGGCAGGTCTGTCTACTTGCAGTTGCCTGTTTAGAGATAAGTACTCTGCTGTAGCTTTGAAGGGGGCCTCCCAGCCCTGAAGAGTGCTTTTGATAGGCAGGCCACATAGATGGGCCCAGACAGGAGCACACAGCTCCTCTCCCTCCAACCGTGTCTGTTTAAGGAGGAATCATTCAGAAAGAAAAACTGGTATACTTCCTCCAAGTACTCATACTGTTGATGCATAAACACTCCCAAAGGTAGGCCAGATTAATAAGCTCGTACTTTTCTTGGCTGTTTCCATCCACACGCACAGAGACGCCTATGGGGCTTTCCAAGTCAGGTGATCCTAATTTTGACTTAAACATCAGCAGGCACTCTTCGAACCCTTCCCAACCAAGACCAGAGCCAGTGCCCCTGCACTTGCAGAATTACAGCATCCGCTTACGACAAGGGCACCTTCGCAGAGCAGGTGGGTTTGTGTTGAGAATTCGTTGATTTGGGCCAGGCTTCTCTTGCTCATTTGCAAAGGACACACACAAACAGAGAGAGGACAGCGTCTCCTTGTTCGAGCACAATTAATCGGGCTGAGAATCCATGAATGTGAACCATCCCCGACTGTGGAATGCAGAGTTTAGAGGAACAATCATTCATCATCACTATTACAACAAGTGTTTGCTTTTTCTCCTTTAACTACTGATATGGTGGCATTTTTTTGTATGGGAAAGTGAGATGGGTGTGGATTTAGACTTAGAGTCTTGGAAGGTTCATTTCTCCCCTTTTCCGCCTGACATTCCTGGAAGAGAGGGATTTTGGAGGGCTCTGCATCCGATGTGGTGCCCGGAGAGCAGAGCAGTGGAGGAGGGGAGCTCCCATAGCCTGCAGCAGCCACAGAGAGTGGAACACCTCCCTGTGGGTCCCAGAAACAGCCGGAGGTGGTGGCAGGAGGGCCTGAGGTGGGCTGTGGCCCAAAGGAGGGGGTTGTTTTGGGACAGAGAGAAGGAGCCCCAGAGGCAGGTTGGGAAAAACTGATCCCCTGAGAACAAAACGAGACTGCAGGAAAAAGGGAAAAGTGAGGGATAGAAGCAGGCACACATGGTGAGGGCAAGTTAAGAGAAAGTTCCATTGGGGAGATATGCGAGGAGTCTGCCCTTAGCTAGTTAAGTGATGTGGGCAAATAAGGCTCAGGGTACTCTTCCCGTCGATTCCTGGCAGTCGGGATGGTTGCAGAGGAGGGAGCTGAAGATACCCAAACTGTCTCCACGGCTTAGCTCCACACTTGGCTTCAGCCGTTCCTAGTGAGGCTGTGACGTTACAGGCCTGGCAAGACACAAACCAGGGACGGGTAGGGCCATTCACCAGCTTCTTAGGTCAGCCCCAAGTTAAGGGTAAATTTTACATTTTTGTTCTTTAGAGTTGTTAATGTAACTGTGCTTAGCACTAACAAAAGTTACCATTCGGTCTACTGTTGCAGAGAGTCCTGTTTATGATGTGTAGTAAATAATGTGATCTCATTGTTTAAATGCCGATCAAGGCTCTCCATCCCAGAGAGGAGGCAGAGAAGTGACATAAATTCACCCCGGTCCATTCTCTACTCCCCTGGAGGCCCCTCTGTGAGTCGGTTGGAAAAGCACGTGGCTGCACTTCTCCAGGGGAGCAGGTAACAAGGCTACAGCTGGCGAGAGCCTTCCGCAGTGTCCCTGCCAGGAGAACAAGCCAACTCCTGCCTGGTTCCTACCACGAGGGCCTGAGGCCAAGTTAACCAGAATGCAGGCGCATTCTAGAGGGTAAGGAACACTAGGGGCTGCAGCCCTGTTCCCAGACCGAAGTGGGACCCTGGGGTTACCCTCTGCACGCCAGCAGAGCTGGAAGCAGTGCCTGTGATTTGGGAGGTGGGACCCAGAGTCGAGTGCTTGCCCTAAGGTCGGGATGCGGGAGGGCAGCAGGAGAGTTTTGTTTCCCAAACGGAGGCAGCTTTGCTAGCTGGAAGAAGACCTGAGAAGTCTTAAACCCAAGTTAGCTTTTCTGGCAACTCTTTCACCTTCTAGAAGCCTGGCCTGTCTGCCTCCTTTCACAGTCCTGACAATAACCAGACATACAACTCGATGAGAGAACCCCAAATAGCTGCCAAATGAATTATTTTCTCTTCTCTCTGTCTGGAGGGTCCAAGGCTGGTCTTCTGGCAGATGCAGACAGAAGGCTTAAACTGCACGTTGGTCCAGGGCAGGGGCCACCACTTAAACTGAGTGTCTCTGGTGGTGCCAGTCCTTCAGTAGATGTTGCTCTGAATGTCCGTGAGCCACCTGCCAGCAGATTTATTTGGGCAATGCCTTTCGAAATCTATTCTGACTGCTGATCTCTGGGAAACTATCATATATTTCACTGCTAGTTGATGGTGGTGTCCAAAACCAACATTTTGAATTGTCTTGCTCAGACCAGAAGGATTCTTGGCACAGGCACCCAGAGGGAGGTGTGTGGTATGCACGTCTTCTTGTGTCAGCTTGCATTTCTATTGTGCTGGCAACCAGAGGGGGTCCACATAGGTGGAAAGGAATGCTGAGAGCCTGAAGTGAGGAGCAGCAAAATGAGGGCTGCTGTCGGACAGAGGTGAGCAGTGCCACAAAGCCCAGTCCAGGAGTCAGCACTGATGGCTGGGAGCGTTTAGAAAAGGTTCGCGATAGAAATACGCTTAGTTATTTTAGCAAGTGACCTGCTGCTTATTAAACCAACCTCAGGTAAGATGTCACGGGACCAGCACATAGTCCTTTGACTACTGATATGGTGGCATTTTTTTGTATGGGAAAGTGACATGGGTTTTTATTTTAAGGTTTCCAAGTTCTGTTTCATTATATACAAAACGTCCACCATTTTGGTCCTGAACATATGGCTTGTTTATTAAATCCTCATGAAATTTAAAGGGAGAAGCAGTACCATGAAGCAAGGTAAAAGACGTAGAAAAGGGCCGATGTGGGCATGTGTACGCACA